CAGCTACCAATCTGGTACTTGGCAACAGTAAATCAGTTAGGAGGTATTTGTTGTTTGATTGGGTGGCTGATGGAGTAGTTCTAAGTGCTGTTAATCCTGCTTTCTGTTGGCCTGTATAATTGTATTTCTCAAGATTTGCACCCCATAGTCATAGACAAGGGCTTAGCATAGTACTCTGAGCAGTGTGGACCTGTGCTCACTATGAATGTGCCCCAGACACCTCTGGCCCTTTCTGTTTGTTCTGGAGTATTATACTGACTGAGTGGCTGAAGCGGGTTATCAGCTTTGGTTATGTAGATTACAACAGCATTGACTGTTGTAGGATTTGAATTTTCGGTCCCCTCACCCTGGCTCTCTCACCATTGTCCAGGCCAGCTGAATCTCCTGGCCTCAAGCCCCCGCCCCTACCTGCAGTCCCCAGAGTGTTGAGGCTGTGGAGGGCGCCGCTGCATCTGTTTTGTTATTTAATAAAACTTATTTACCATCCAACAAGTGAGATTCTCAAAAACCCTTTAGAAGTATTTAACATCTGAGCCCAATGTTATTTGAACACTCCTTTTGATGAATGGTTTAAAAAAAGTTTTGCCTTTTTTTTTTTTTTTTTTTTGCGGAACCGGGGATTGAACTCAGGCCCTTGTGCTTGCCAGGAAAGCACTTATCCTACTGAGCCATCTCCCCAGCCCCTAATTTTACTTTTTTTGCGGAACCGGGGATTGAACTCAGGCCCTTGTGCTTGCCAGGGAAGTGCTTATTCTACTGAGCCATCTCCCTGGCCTTCCCTTTTATTCTCATAAAAAATTTCAAAACAAGATAACAGGAGGATTTTTTAAAAAAATAGTACTAGTGATTAAACTCAGGACCCTGAGCTTGCCAGGCAAGTGCTTATTCTACTGAGTTATCTCCCTGGCCCTCAATTTCTTTCTTTCTTTCTTTTTTTTTCAGCTCTGATTTTCTTTCTTTCTTTTTTTTTTTATGAAGGAAGGAAAGGTTTATTTAGTTTACGGTTACTGGAGTGTTCAGTCCATATTCTGCTGGCTCCAAGGCTAACGACAGCAGCTCACCCAGCAGAAAACAATGAAGAGCAGAGGAGGGGCAGCTCCTGCGGCGTCCATCAAGCCTCTCTCTTCTATGCTGACTGTGGAGACTGACATACCTTGGCGAAGATCAGCGCTCCTCCAAAGTGGGGGCTGCAAAGATCAAGCTCCTCCGAAGACTGGGACTTCTCCATGGAAGCAGGGCAGGGCGGCAGGAAGCGCAATTTTTTTCTTAAATAGAGTTTTAGGTATTTTTATTTGTTAATGTAAACATACTATGATTATTATTTAAAATAAATTTTATCAGGGGCTGGAGAGATAGCTCAGCAGCATACATGCCTGCCTGGCAAGTGTAAGGTTCTGAGTCTGATCCCTGGTATCAAAATAAATAAATAATAAAATAAAATAAATTTTATTGTTCATATTTAAGATACATAACATGACCTCATGAGATAGATAACATGTCTATCATCTCATAGAGTTATCCTATTTTTGTATGAAGAACAGTTAATATCTTTCTAAGCAAAAATCCTGGATAAAAAACCAATATGATTAACTATTTCATATTATGCTCTTTGACTCATTTATCTTACATATCTGCTGTTTTATATTATCATGAAACAAAAAAATTAAATAGTTAGAGTACACAAAGATTTTAGCATTAATAGTTATAATCACAGGGACATCATTAGAAAAATTCCTTTTCATAAATACCAATCTCGAAACATTTAATATTATTTAAAAAGAATTAAGCACATATAATATCCAGTAACCACTGATAATATTAAGTGTATCCTACTCTGTAGGGTCTATATAAGTATTAATTATAGAGTTTGCCACAAAGAGAAGACTGTGTATAGATTTCTTTTTCTTCAGTTTCAGAAGTGAAATACCTCAGTTTCTTTTACAGTGGATGTATGATGCTTTCTTTGGCTAGAAGAGAGAAATTGCAAAGTGAGAATGTATCAGTGATGCCAGTTATCAATCAAATATATTTTCTATTAGTGAAAGAAGACATACATACTCTGTATATGTGCTTCTACCTTTTTTATTTTTTGGGGGGCAGGCTCAGCCCTCTCTAGGGGTGGGGCTGGCTGTGGTGCCTGTGATCGAACCCTGTGGTTGCCTGAACTTGCCTAAGCAGGTGGTTTAGATGGCTAAGCTACCTCACCATGTGCTTCTACTTAGGCAAATGATGTTTCTAAAAATTTTTGTGGGGCTGATGAGATAGCTCAGGGCACTAAGCACCTGCTTTGGCAAGCGCAGGGACCAGGTTTGGCAATCAAGTCTGGACATGGTGGCACATGTGTGTAATCTCAGCACTAGGGAGACTGAAAACAGGAGGATTACTGCAAGTCTGAGCTGCATAGTGAGACCCCGTACCAAATACATAAAATGAAAAGAAATTTTTCTTATGAAACATTTTTCACAAACAAAATCACACTAAGATTATGATAAAAGACAATTATTCAGGTGTTTATACGTCATGAACAGTGTGCATGGTGAACCTTTATGCATAATAAAAATGTTTTGCTCACCAGTCCAAGTTCTCTCTGGCGAGGATGCGTGTGGTGGTGCTTGTGCAAGTTGCCTGTGGGGAGAAGCCTCCTCCTGCCTCCTCTCCCCGGTCTGCCCCCAGCGCCTGACTGGCGAGTAGGGATACTAGTGGTTTTGTGGTGGTGGAGGTCTGAAGAACAGGCTCTTTTTACAGGAAGAGGCAGCACAAGCTGGGGGTTTTGATTTGGGGCAGTTCAGCAGGTGGGCTTAGAAGGTGGGCAGAGGATTCCTGACAGTGGAAGTGCAGTGGAAGTAGGGAGCACGTTGGAAGGTTGGAGTCACTAAGAGCAATGTTAGAAGAGGGAACTTACGTGTGCTACAGACGTACGCTAATTTAAAAAAAGAAAGAAAATAGAACAGGCTTTTCTTTTGTTCTAAAAATTAAAAGGCCACCCTTGAAGAAAAGACCCTAAATGAAGAAAACTAACTGAATGCCGCCCCGATAACTTAAATGCAATGCTTTGCCAAAGGCCTGCGGCCTGCTAATCTTCGGAAGCTATGAAGTTGTAGGCTATATAAATTGAGGGGTAAAATAAATTTATGTTCATCAGCTAAAAAAGCATTTTTAATGCACACAAATTGGCTAATTTGATATATATATTCTTTTTTTTTTTTTGCTGAACCGGAGATTGAACTCAGGCCCTTGCGCTTACCAGGGAAGCACTTATTCCACTGAGCCATCTCCCC